GGGGGGGGGGGGGCGAGAAGGAGGTGGCTGCGTCAGGGTGTTGTTTACACTTGAGTGTTGTAAAAACGCGCATCCTCCCACCCTTCTGTTTCCCATCCTTGTGGCTTTCTGCTGCGGATCCATTTCTGTGTTTCATTCGGAAACAATGGACCTTCCTTTTCCCGAATGCTTAATCAGTGATGCCGGGATGGCCATTTGGATATTTCACTATGCATCCTAATTAGTATTCTTTTGCAGTCGTATTTTAAAGGCACAGTTCAACCTTTTGAACGATGGTTTTTAAGGCGCATTTGAGCCCTTTAATTGAAAAAACTAACTAGGAAAATCAATTAAGCATAATTCAAAATCAGAAAACTCGATGTTTTGAACAATATAAATGTTTTAAAATGTTAAAAACATTAAGTTTGGTGATCTTGAATTACGCTTAATTGATTTTCCTAGTTAGTTTTTTCAATTATAAGAGCTGAAATGCGCCTTAAAAACCATCGTTCAACAGGCTGAACTGTGCCTTTAAGCTATTCAAAACACTAGTTGTCGTGTTTTATCAGATATAAAACACTCGGCTGCGCCCTCGCGTTTCATATCTGATAAAACACTCCTACTCGTGTTTTAAATACTACTTAAACTTTACGTTTCAATTCAAAAAAGTTCGGAAGATGCAAAATTTGGGCAATTTTATAACTGCGGGTCCCCCTTTGTTATGAGCAGAACGGAATTTACATCATCTTTAAGCATAGTACAAACTTTTAATATGTAGCGCGAAGTGAACAGTCAGGTAACCACCCACAGTGCGCATATTGTTAGTGATAATTATCTCCCATAAGTTCTACTTTTGTGTTAAACTATTTTTGATTGACGTTATTACCAAAGACACGTTCTATTTTACTTGTCATATGTGCTATAAACGATAACGTATAGTTATGTATTGTCTCTCAAAATTTGCTCTTCTATCCTAACCCCAACATCGCAATTTTCCCAGTGTGTGGTATCCTTTCTCACTAGAGCGACCGGTATCTCCAAATCTCAGCTCTGTAACAGGCAGTGTGTTCTTGTCAGTCAGATATCCACTGTCTTGACGCCATGTTGAATCATTCTTGTCACAATTACATCTCTTTCCACCTGCACAGCTGTTTGTCATTCCACATGCACATTTTCCACTGTTGACTGCCGCTCCGCCCCAGTAATTCATCCGTGTACCTTGACGTGATACCCACCAGCTATCAGGTGGAGTAGAGTACAACCAGAAACCACTACCATAACATTCATATTTTATAAACTGCTCACAATTCCTGCATGGACTGCTTCATAATGGCAAGGATTTGTTCCATGGAAATATCGTATTTAATTTTTCGCTTGTAAGAACCTGGAGATTCATATCCATTCACAAGTGTTCTTGATCCACTGTCATGTCCAATCACCGTCACACCAATCCCATTCTTTGACGTCATATCACAGTATACGTGAACCAATGGCGATGAACTGAGTCCAAGAGGATTTAAATAATACATTCCACCGGTTGTTGATGAGTATTTTAGCGACAAAGCTGAACAAGACGGCTTATGTAACCTGTCGAAACGCTTCAAAATATCTATAAAACATAATAATTTTTCGTTTGTGTTGAAAGCTGTTAAACTCAAAAATAATTCCTGTGACGCGCACGCCTAATACTCTTCTGGGTCCATAAGGGTAGATGTGGATATCAATAGACATTTCCCAAATTTGTTTGAGTGCACACGAAACAACAGCTTGAAATCGAGGCGGGCAATGTAATCCACTGTAAATAAGCAGTTTAAACGGAATAATAATTTGCAAGCCGCCGACATAAAACAGCATATATAGCAACAAACAAAATCGTTTTCTATACACGTCCAGTAAAATCGCGATTGGAAACTACAACGACGAGTGCACATTAGGCTATTAATAACACTGTTTGATGCTCGCATTTATCAGTTGCGTATCACTACTCATCTACAGAGATTCATGATTGGAACTTGGATATTACGTTTGGGTGTTAGAGTTTGGCGAGAGTCTAGAGAACTTTTCCTGATCTTAATCAGCTTGTTTAAAAAAAGCAAAGGAATAAATATAACTATCGAGTCAGATAGTGTTTTCTATACTTTAGCTGCAGGTATTATTATGGAAGCAAATGTTTAATACTTTAAATTAAATTACAACCTCCTTGCTACGGTTTAATAAAATTGTGATATAGCCTTATTTTCTATAACTCTAACAATGTACAGGGTGTATCAAAATAAACGCAATTCATCTTTTGTGCTTAATAACTTTCGAAATACTATTTCTAGTTAAACGCTTTTAGGCTTACTTCAAAGCCTGTTCTTTTCTCTTTCAAACAAACTATTATCCTTGTCTCCAATACTAGTAATAATTGCACAGGAAAAGATTTAGTAAAACCTATCATTTTTAGTTGCTGTTTAATTATGCAAGTTTACTATGTTATTGTTTAGTCGGTTTAAATGTTAGAATTTTCTTCTTTAAACTTTAATGTTGTCGTCACTACATCTGGAAAACCACGTAAGAACAAATTGAAAGTATTTTAAAAGATACCAGGTTGTTTGAAATTCCTAAACGAATGCTAAAAATCGTCAAAACATTCTGGTGTCTGAGCCAGAGTGTCATCGAATTGCGATGTAATGTAAACAGAAGTTATAGCAAGTTGATGTCAGTCAGCTTAGATGGTCCAAGCCAAAATTATATCGCATTTGAAGTTTCAAGCTGAGTTAAAAATAGTGGAAGAAAAGCCGTAATTATACTTATTGTTACAATCCATTTAATAAAATGCAACATTTGTTTGTTTTAATGAAAAAATCAGTTATTTTCATGAGAACGATTTGTTATTCCATCTCAATTTTTTTAATCTCCAATCGCAATAACATAAAGTATTATTACCCGCGAACCAATGAGTCAAATTTAAGAAACAACCCACTGTTAGAAAGCTGAATGGCTACGCTTTAAAATGAATGTAAATTTTAACGTTTTTGTCTATTATTTGTTTAGCAATTTACATTTCAGTCGAGGATTGCGCTTTTTTTGATACACCCTGTATACGCTTATGGTTCTTTTTGTTTTCTTACCTTGGTTTTCTACTTCCAGCTTTTTAATCATACCGCCTTGCCTTTTGATTTGTTTCTTCAATTTCTCGAACTAGAATAAGATTTAATATGAAAGATTAGAAATACCACCACTGGAAGTGAGGTGGCATTTTTTGGGACATCCTGTATAGTTAACTTATTTTCAACCTTTTTGGTCTGTTTGCCATGCTATTTATAGACCATATAGTTATAGTTATTTATGTTTATTGCACAGGAATATAGTTTTGGGCTGGTAACAGTCTGTTGGAAATGCCGAAAAAAATAGACTGGTATTTATAAGTCAATACATTTGGGCTCAAAAAGTTTACTGATTTCCATTGTCCTGTTGATATGATCTTAATGTCTTCGCATTATTTCACCAGTGCTCAGACTCACTTTAGCAGAATCAGGACCAGTTTTCTCAACCACAGTTCCCGACATCCAAAATTTTGGACGTCTTTGATATAAACAGTGTCATCCATTTGTATCTACCATTAGCATGGTAACCATGGGATGATTTTTGTTGTGTTCGCTTTTCCAGGACGCGGTCACCGACGTTTGTGTGGAGTAGGTCCAATTGGGTGTGTAATTTCCGATTCATCAACAACTGAGTCGGTGGAACTCCCGTGGTGGAATGTGGGATAATACGACACTTTCATTTTCACACTGACATTTTCCACACTGCTTCACCTGTCCTTCAATGTCTGGGTCTAGTCCCGGTCACCAAACATAACTATACTAGCCAAATATTTAATTTAGTTTTGAAAATTCCTCGGTGAGCCTCGTGCAATACCGCTAACAACTGTTCTCTACCTTTTCGAGGTACAGTTACTCTTGAAAGCTACGAGCTGTCCACCATCTTCGATTAATTCTTAACCTAATTCTTTACTATTGTTTTGATAATGTTAAGAGTGGGGTTAGCCTTATAAAATCACTTCTAAGCCCCTGACGTTGGTTGAGAAACACTCAACAGCTGTTTAAAATGTTTTTATTGAATTTGAAATCAACCGAGAACGAATTTCCGGTTCATATTGATCACTGGCTGTCAAGAAAAAAACACATTATGAATTATGAAGGTAATAAACAATTGTAAGTACGAACCGGAAGAAAGTTAAGAGTGTTTTAGCATTCCCATGAGCAAACCTTTGTCTAGCGAAAGAAATATGTAAAAAAATTGTTTGTATAAAAAAGCTGAAAATCACGCCTCAGAGGCTCAAAAATACAAGACCCCACACCCACTTAGACGTCGTACTTTTCCCGTTCAGCAACTCCAAGTTAGGACTTTTTCGACCGTTTCACCGACAAATTCTTAATTTAAATTCTGCTGTGTATACAACTTCACCTCGGTAACATGTTAGAAAAGTACTTGTAATTTGATTCCACAAAACACTACGGGTTTTCTCCAGGAGCACATATTCCTGTTTTCTCATACAGTTACACTTGAGGCAAGTAAAACGTGTCTTTATACTGTATAACCCTCCCAAGAAAGAGAACTTTTTAGGAATAACACTGCAAATTTTTTTCCAAATCCTAACTATGTAAATAGTATGGAACTCCAATTTTCATACAAATCGCAATTTCCATATACCATGGATGTAGTATGGTAATAGTATGGATAAACTATGGATTAGTATGGAAGAGTATGGATATACTCTATGGATTTAGTGATGCAATCGCAATTTCCACATACTACGGATGTAGTATGGAAGTAGTACGTATGGATATACTATGGAAATAGTGTGGATATAAACTATGCCTATATGGATCTAGTAATGCAATCGCAAATTCCATAGTATGAATTTCACTCTCAGTTCTTTCCAGTGTAAGTTATTGACCAAGAAAGATTAGGTATTTGGGATTATAACAAGCCAACGTATACTGCATATTTAATTCACTATTACGCTCAAAATGTTGAATTAATTATTAGTAATATTTATCTTGCTGCTGAAGGAACTCGATAACCTGGGTCAACACACTTAACAGTTGTCAAATTTCATCGTACATTATCCAAACACGGAGATTAAGATATCTTAATGTGGTTAGGCTTATGCCTCGTTTCAAATTATTCTAGCTATATACTCATTGTTTTGACTGTTTCTTCTTGCAGCCTACGAAGCTGCTGTATGACTATTTTCATGGAAATGTTTCTTCATTCTTGCCAAAGCGATCACAGCAGATGTGACGAGGTAGCCCAACTTGGCAACTTGTAAAAAAGTATGTTTGCTTCTGAAGTGAATGCAAACTTTCAGAACAATTAATGAAAGGTCGCTGATCGCTGACGCACTTCTTATAGGCCCGTTTTATTAAGCTTCATTATCTATTGTTTGAATTGCATTCGACGCGACCGAAATTCGACGTATAAAACAGGCCTTAAATACACTGCTGATATACTCGTTTGCCTTTTTGGAAAACTCTATACAATATACATTACAATTACAAAGACTCTACATGTACAGGATGTCCAAAAATGCACCCACTATGTTTTGTGGTATTACTATTTCGGTATTGATGTGAGTTACATACTTTTAGTAGGCATCAAGTCGGAGTGGAGCATGCATGGATTAAATCATGACTACTAATTAAGCTATATACCTACACTACATAAACGGTTGCGGTAGTTCATATATAGCCACATTTATATGTGTTCGGTTAACCGCATGGTCATGCTTTCATTTGGGTACGATAAAACTCGCTTAAAAGGACCAGTGGGTTAAGAAGCCTGACATTTAGCAAAATTAAGCACCCAAAATGCAAGGATCACTTCAAGCTGACGAATAAGACTCTAGAATGCATCTTCTAAGTAAGGGCAGGCCGGTATTCGCAGGTGTATGCTTGATCTAATACCATTGCAAATTGGAAAACCATGTATAATCTGTTGTTGGGTATACTAATGAGGAAACTCAGAAACTTTTAAATAGCCGTTATTAGAGACGTGTAATACTGATCAACAGTTTATATACTAATTAGAGAAACAAATAATTTAAAACACCAAACTATAGGAACAATTGTTTTCGACTATAGAAATATAAAGAACCAGTTTTAAGAACCAACTTAGCCCGATTTCTCACTAAATACCCGAATATAAGAACCACTTATTAATAAATAGCCTGACACAAAAATACTGGTTCTTTTATACGCGGGTTTTTACTGTATGCTCTCTTATTTTCAGAGACGACCTCAGTTCAAGTTTTGGGACACCCTGTATATAAATCATTTTCAAAGTTTATTTATATTTAATATTTTGTTATTCTTTTATGATTAACACACATGCAAGTAAAGAATACTGTAGTTATGCGATACATATGTTTGATCGAACCCATGGGCAGTCGCTTTCAGCTGACGATATAAATAAAACCATATATAAAATTGTTTCCGTATTACCAAAACAGTATAAGCAATAGCAAAGATGCGATCGCATGTTAAGAAATAACTCAAATAAGACATATCTACTATAGAAATTCGCATGTCATGCATACAATTCACAATCGTAATATACTTGCGCAGTGACCTGCTGGGCTTAAAGTTTGAGAAATATATAAGACATTTTCCCAAATGTAATACCTATCACCATGTTAGTATCAACTAGCTTGTCGCTTTGCGATAAACCAAAAGCCAAGCTAAGCCAGGCTGAGAAAATCAGGATTTTCAACAGAATCTTCGCAGACATCATTTTGTAAATTTCGTCTCCAAGCAAGTTCTGTCTTCTCCTTCAGCTCCTTGAGACGCAATGAATGCATGTAGCTGTTGTATTCAGTTTTAGTGTGCACGCCAACAAGGGCAGATTTCGTTCTAAGCCAATCAGCGCATTTGTCTACATTTTCGTTCTCGACCAATCAGAATGCTTAAAATTTAAAAACGTATACTAAACAAATAGAGCGAGAAAATATTATCGTAATCTAAGGCTTCCGTGAGCTACAATATAAACTTTTTTACCCAAAACCGAAAGATTCTAACAGAAAATACATATATCTTGAATTTTGTCGTGGGACTTTTTAAATTTCGACACAGAACGCGAAATATCGATGTTTGAATTACCGCCGTGATTGCGCTGTAGCCGCATCATATCGTCAAAACCGATCGAAATAACGCTGTTTTCATTGGGAAGATTTTGTAGTTTTTCTTCGTTTTATACTGCATGCATATTCTGGTATAATTTACTGTACTGTACCTCTGATCGTGTTGTCAGAAATACGTCAAAAAGTTATATTGGGCGGTGATCATTGGGCGGTGATAAAGTGCAATTTCATATCCGGTTTCTTGTTCGCTCTCGATGTATGCGCTTGTTCTTCGATCTGTTTGATTATTTTGTCCATAAATACAGTATGTGCTTGTTTGTTTTAAACAATTTTCAACGAGGAAACATCGAAACAGCACCTATAGACAAAGTGACAGTGCAAATAGATGGAACCATTTTGCTACAGCACCGCAGTGTTTATCTTGGTGTCAATGACGTTTCCAATGTCGGATTCCTTGCAGCAATGTATCGATTGTCCTTTCGTTTTCTCCATCTTCTGGCTGGATCTCGTGCTCATCATCATCGTCGTCTACTTCGCTTTCGTCGTCGCTTTCAATGTCTTCTGCCTCGTCTTCGTTCTCCTAAAAATTCGCTATCAGATCGTGGTTGAAGACAGCCTCGTTCACTACCTTGCAAGGACCTCGAGCTTTGTCAGCAATGTCGACTGACAAATATGGCAAACACTTATGTCAGGCAAAACACATTCAATGTGGAAAGAATGACTACAACTACGAAATATTTTCCACAAGGGGCTTTCTTTCTCGCATTCAGGTAATTAAATCGCATTTTCTAAGACGTAAATAAAGCAAAAGTAAGTTACTTGTAACCTATTTATAGATAGACTGTCTGTCCGAATTGCTTTTTTTGTTTTTTAGGTCTTTGTTTCAAGAATTATAAATGTTTGCTTGTAGGACGTAGGTCCCTTTTCTTTCATTTTGTATGGTATTAATGAATTTTCTATAAATCCTTCAATTTTTACATACACTTTGCATGGTGTGTTCTAAAAATCTAAAATTGGAACAATATAATTAGAATTATTTGGGTACATTTTCAAACATTCTTTTATTTTGTAGCAAATACTATATTTTTTTGTTATATTTTCAGTTAATTGTTTCTTGAATGTGGAATTTGTATGTTTGAGTTTAACCATTGACCGGCCATTAAGTGCCAGCGCTCTCCCCTTGACGAGTGAAATTGTCTGGCGTTAGACAGAGTAAAATACTAAAGTAGGGTGCATCGGGGTGCAATGCGACTCAATGGGTTAACTAGACACACAGGCAGATAGGCCAGTTAACCCATTAAGAGACAGCACTCTCCCCTTGACGAGTAAAATCGTCTGGCGTTAGACAGAGTAAAATAATCTGGTGTTAGACAGAGTAAAATACTAAAGTAGGGCGCATCGGGGTGCAATGCGACTCAATTGGTTAAACCACAATAAAATGCACTGCTGTCAGACAATTTTACTCAACATCTAGGTGAAAGTCTTGTGGTTTAATGGGTTAACCAAACAATCTACGCACCCTACTTTATTATTTTACTATGTCTAATACCAGACGATCTTACTCGTTAGAGGGAGAGTGTTGCACTTTAATTTTGTTTGACAGCATTCACAACCAGATACTGTGAGCATGCCCCCCCCCCCCAACCCTGTTTCAACACTAGCAAGAAAATACCCACTCCATGTTTGAAACCGTGCGACAGTATATTGTGGCATTCGATTAATATCCCGTCGAAAATTTCCACTCAGTCCTAAGAGCAAGAACAAAAGAAACAGATTTAGCTGACCAGATTGCATTCAAAGCAAAAGAGATTGATGCATGCAAGCATAAACTGCATTCTTTTAAGTCTGTCTTTGTGCCAATTAAGATATTCAACTACAACTCAAAGAGAATTATAATAATACGTTGAAGGTAAAGGCTGAAAAATTTCTTTGAATCCCAAATGACCACCCTAACATGGCAACCCCGAGTTCGACGGCAAACTGCCAACTCTATTTGGAGAAAAAATTGTGAACAATCATGTCCTGCCACTAGGCTTTACTTCTGTTCAACAAGCTCCAAATCCGAACAGGTAAAGGCAAAAACATTATTATATGGAATATGGCGGGGGGGGGGACATTCTCACAGTATTCTGTTTATGAATGCTGTCAAACAAAATTAAAGTGCAACTCTCTCCACTTGACGAGTAAGATCGTCTGGTGTCAGACATAATACAGTAGGGTGCATTGTATCTTAATGGGTTAACAAAACATACTGGCAGATTGTTTGGTTAACCCATTAAACCACAAGACTTTCACCTAGATGTCGAGTACAATTGTCTGACAGCAGTGCATGTTATTGTGGTTTAATGGTTAAACTCAAACATACACATTTAACATTATATCTACTTATCCTTCTTATTTAACCATTTTCCGCATTCAAAGGGGAATTACATAAAAATATAGTACTTGTTACAAAATAAAAGAATGTTTGAAAGTGTACGCAAATTATTCTAATTATATTGTTCCAATTTTAGATTTTTAGAACACACTATGCAAGGTGTATGTAAAAACTGAAGGATTGATAAAAAATTTCATTAATTCCATACAAAATGAAAGAAAAGGGACCTACAACAGACATTTAAAATTCCGAAGTGACTATATGACCGGCAGCCGGTCACGGTTTATCAAATACTAAATGGCCGGCAGTCTAGTGACTATAGTTAAAGTTGAATTTTTATAAGATAAACCTATCCCCAACCCCAAACCCTTTTCTAACCCTAACCCCTAACCCTAACCTTTTGAGAGATAGAAAAGTCGGGAAAAAAAGTTTAAAAAATTTTAAGAAAAAACAATGCTAAGTCAGACAAAACACATCGCGACCCCGACTGCGCTTAACCTTTCCGCACGCAGCGCCCTTGCCGTATGAGCTAACAGCAAGCTCGGTAAAAGTTAACGCAAACAAAAGTTTTTATATTCAACTATAGTCACTAGACTGCCGGCCATTTAGTATTTGATAAACCGTGACCGGCTGCCGGCCATATAGTCACTTCGTTAAAATTCTTGAAACAAAGATTCGGACAGACAGTCTAAATAGTTACAAGTATTAACTTACTTTAATTTACGTCATAGAAAATGCGATTTACCTGAATGCGAGAAAGAAAGCCCCTTGTGGAAACTATTTCGTGGTTGTGGTCAAGTGTTTGCCAGATTTGTCAGTCGAAATTGCTGACAAAGCTCGAGGTCCTTGCAAGGTAGCGAACGAGGCTGTTTTCAACCACGATCTGAGAGCGACTTTGCAGGAGAACGAAGAAGAGGCAGAAGACACAGAAACCGACGATGGAAGCGAAGCAGACGACGATGATGATGAGCACGAGATCCAGCTAGAAGATGGAAAAAACGAAAGGAATTGCTGCAAGGAATCCGACATTCGAAACGACATAAATTTGACACCAACATAAACACTGTGCTGTAGTAAAATGGTTTCATCTATTTGCACTGGCACTTTGTCTATAGGTGCTGTTTCGATGTTTCCTCATTGAAAATTACTTAAAACAAACAAGCACATACTGTATTTATGGACAAAATAATCAAACAGATCGAGGAACAGGCGCATGCATCGAGAGCGAACAAGAAACCGGATATGAAATTGCACTTTATCAACGCCCTCTGATCACCGCCCAATATAACTTTTTGACGCATTTCTGACAACACGATCAGAGGTACAGTACAGTAAATTATACCAGAATATGCATGCACTATAAAACGGAATAAACCACAAAATCTTCCAAATGAAAACAGCGTTATTTCGATCGATTTTGACGATATGATGCGGCTACAGAGCGCAATCACGGCGGTAATTCAAACATCGATATTTCGCGTTCTGTGTCGAAATTTAAAAAGTCCCACGACAAAATTCAAGATACATGTATTTTCTGTTAGAATCTTTCGGTTTTGGGTAAAAATGTTTATATTGTAGCTCACGGAAGCCTTAGATTTCGATAATAATTTCTCGCTCTTTTTGTTTACGTTTTTAAATTTTAAGCATTCTGATTGGTCAAGAGCGAAAATGTAAACAAACGCGCTGATTGGCTTAGAACGAAATCTGTCCTTGTTTGTCTCGATCAATTCCATGGGTGCCCAACACCCCCCCGGGCGTTTGTCGGGCATTCTCAACTGTACTTGTTCCCAGGGTCGGGCATTTGCTTTCTGCAGGTTAGCCCCGGGGTGGGGAATTTGCTCGAGGCTAAAAAGTCGAATATTTATCGTTTGTTTTGCCATTTAGCCGTACTTTAGTACGCATGTTTACACCAGCGAGCGTATTGCAAATTAATCATGGCGGAATAACACAAGACTTTTTTCTTGTCCATCCTGTTGATACATTGACTTACTTCTGCAGTTTGATATTGCTATATAAAGTTTTGAGACTTCAATATTTTAATTAAAAACGTTTTAAAACGAAATGCCTATAGAATCGATTTTAAATACAGATATATTGATACGTGATAGACCTTGGATTCGATTTTTTGGATCAGAAATCCTCAGAAAACTTATATTTTGTCCCCCAAGGGTGGGGCATTTGCGTCAATATAAGTCCCCAAGGGTGGGGATTTTGTTGCATTATTTGGACCCCATACTGGGGCATTTGCAACGTTTTTTCGCCAAAATGACAAAAGCCCGACAAACGCCCGGGGGGTGTTGGGCACCCATGGAATTGATTGAGACATAACAATACATACTGCGAGCGATCTGCCAATACAATTTCGTTTGATTTTCAAAGGCCATAAATCGCTAGAATACTGGTGTTCGGTAATACACTTGACATCCGTAAGAACAATTTCTTTATACGCTGAGTCGAACGGTGTCGCTTTCTTCTCAAAATATAGGAATTGGTTAAATCATCGTGAGCATGTTCAATAAAATTCACTGAGCTATAACATTACACTAATGTTATAGCTCAGTGGCTAAATTGCGCAATCCTGAGCCCACGATGCCGCAATGGAAAGTCACACTTGCGACAACAAAATAAAAAAAGAGAAAAATTCCTCGCATTCCAGCGAGGGCAAATTATCACACTGGCTGCGGCCAGTGTAATAAAACACTTATTTACTGAGACCTCGGGAAAGCAGTGTGTTTTGTGGACCCTCGACCGTCGATGTTCGCCTCGGGAAACATCGACGGTCTCGGATCCACAAAACACACTGTTTTCCTCGGTCGCAGTAAATAAGTCATAGATATATGTAAAATAACATGATATTGCTTATTGTGTAACAATAGTCAAGAAGTGATTGTACCCAGTGACGAACCTAGTTCAAAATTATTGGTCATGTAACTATTTTGAGCGTCGAGGGCGCTAGACATCTATGAAGGTCGGGG